GGCCCTTTTGTCACGCGCACCGGCCCTACTATATCTCTCTCCGTCCAAGTATCGACGGAGTGTAAAAGGGCTCGAACGACACGCCTCGAAAACCACCGCAAGAGGATTGTCACCTGCTTATCTTTTCACGTGTACCGCCGATGTGCGTGTACATAATCTCACCTCCCTGACCCCTCCACCTCTGACATTATAAAACGACCTGCCTAGACATCGGCGACGACAGATCGATGGCAAGTAAAGAACGAATGGGCGAGGCGGCGCGGATTTCGCTATAATCGCCGGTGTAATCTTCCCGTCGACGACCATAGACTAGCGAAATGAATTTAACTCTCAGTATCGTGCTTACGAGCAACCAAGAAGAAACGAGAAGATGAATGTACAAAAACTTTCATAACGACCGTGTTGACTCGATATCAAAATTCATTATCTGTACTGGGAAGAAATGGGGGAACACGATCGCGACAACAGGGTAACCGGCTGTCCCCCTCGACAATTTGTTTATCCGCTCTGTGGGGACCGCGGCGTAATCTCTGAATTAGCGAGACACGTCCCATGGGCGAGGGCATACACTGTGACACCACTTCCTCGTTTCGAAAGTTTTTCACGGCGTCGCGCAATCTTCTTCATCTTCTCGAGAAGATAGTGACAGAGGCGCGCGAGGTATAACGACGTCTCTTCGCGACGTTGCGCGCTTCCAACGGACAGAAAGGGAAATTAATTGCGTCGATAGCACGGTTGAAATACGAGGTCCCTGCGTGAAAGAGCGTCAACGAGAAAAAGAGATACGTTTGCACGGCGTGGATCGCCGCGGATAGGAAGGCAAACGAGCAAAAGGCGGCGCGCAATTTACTACACGCGGCACAACGACGATTCGCAATACGCGACCGCGTTGAGAGAAACGCGACGGAGCCTTCGGCTATCCTTCTTTCAACATTTTTTTCCTTTTCTCTGTTCCGCTCCCGCTCCGTCCCTCGTCCAACCGCGTAATACTATGCACCTTATTAAGATGCAAATGTCATGTCAATTTCGCAATCCTAACGGACTTCTTCGAGAATAGTACGCGCTGTTGTGTCGCTCGGTATAATGTCGACATGCCGCGGATAAATAATAGAACGGGTGAACGATTTAACGAGAATACCAGGCGATCGAGGATAAAGAAGAATCGCAGGCATTCATAAACTCGGTCTTCAAAAAAAAAAAAGCGCGTAGTTTGTTTTCAAATTACATACACGACGCCGAAACAATGACGCAGCATGGAATTAACGCGAAGAACCAGGCTCACTTCTTATCCTACCTTGCGGCCAGGTTTAACTCTTATCGTTATCTGTGCGTATCCGTAGCTCGAGTCCGTTGCTACCGTGTTACCGACGCTCTATATTTGAACGTTACGACCTATCAGCTGATTTTTCCATCTGTGACGCGCTCAATGAAATCGCACGTAACCCTTCGTACCCTCTCGAACGTTTAAAGCCATCGAGAACCGCGCTCGCACGGCGCTCGTCTGGAATAATTAGCCAACCGTGCCAGGCAAGAGAAACCGAGGAACGTCTCGTCGAAGGCAGAAGTGCAATTTTATGCAAAGATAACCCACGAACAACGTGGCTATCTAGCTCTACGATATACATAGGCGTCGATATCCCTCAATCTAAATGTGCTGCATTCGTTTGCATCGACTAAACGCGCAAAGAACCACCAAGGCAACATTTTTATCGTTCGTACTGTCGGCTCGACTTAATCGCCTCCGCTTTGTTTTGCACCAGCGAACTATCCATGACTATTCCGTGTCTTTGCGAAACCGTTCTATCATTACCTATGAGAAACACTATCTTTTCCGTTTCTTTGCTACGAATCTTCGTTTTTCTAAGCACGGAAAATCGATAATTTATTCGGGACGACAAATCCATCGACATCCCAGAACGTATGCCATCCAGATACAATTACGGATGTATACGGCTGAACGTGCTTGAAGACCGATCTACGAACACCTTTCTCGTCGGCCTGGGCTAAGGAACGTAGATGGCGAAACGGTGTGTTTTTAAAAGGCCGAAATGATTTCGCGTATAGGTTCTCCGGTTACCTACGCGTGTGTCCTTGACAGGACTCGCCTCAGGTGAGTTACCAGAGTGAGAAACGTCGACGAAGACAGAAATACCCAAGGGAGAAAAACTAGGAACGAAGAGTGAGAAAGCAGGAGGAAAGGAGCATGCCGCGCGAACAACAACGTGAATACGAGTCTTCTTCCGGTTGGTTGGCCGCGGCAAACCACGAAGAACGCGGTTCTGAACGATCCTTCGCTCGATGCTCGTCGTCGACTGGCTCGCTGGAATTCCTAAAAATAAGTCCCAACGATGAGAGCCAGCGCTGTTTTGGACCCTAAACATCCCACGGGTTACATCCATGGCCGCGCAACGCTATTTCGTTGTCGGAGAGGAAAGGACGTGTCGAGAGAGTCGTGACTCATTTAGAGCGGCTTCAAATCTTCCTCCCTTTCTTTTTCTTCCTCTTTTCAGAGGCCTAGGAGAGGTTACATTTGAACATTCTCTCACGAAGCATCTGAGCGACGACGATGTTGTTGGGTAGGATCGAGGAAACCAGGGGAGTGGACCGCTGTTTCTAGTTTTCGAATTACGAAGGGCGAGAGTATTTCGGAGTCCCGTGAAATTCGTCTATACTGACTTTAATTCTTTATGTTGTCTAACTAAGCCCAACTATTCTTGAGAAGCTTTAATTTAAAGGAAACCGATTATTCGATTTTCTACTGTTTTTGTACTCGGAACCAAACTGATTTATATTACGTTTTATAAAGTTACCTATTATAAGATCGAGATTTGTAATTAATATTAAATTTTCCAAAACCGAACGAACTTCAATATCGTAATTCTGTTATATAAAATAGAAATTTGATAAAAAATAGAAATTTAAAATAAAATAAATAAAATAGAGATAGATAGAAGGATAGAACCTTTAAAATAGAAATATACTTCCCCACGCTATCAATACGATGTCAGTCGGATATTCAAAATATAAATTGGAGACACATACCTGTTTAGAGAAGACAGCGATGTCCTCGTTGAAGCTTTCTGACGAGCATACGTCACCGCCCGCGACGCCGGGTTCACGCGGTGTACACGTCGCCAGCTCGCACTTCTCGAAAATCAACGCAAGAAGCGGGAACAAGGGGTGTCTGTAACACAGCAAGAGAAAGCCACGGTGAGATAAATACCTGCAACCTACCAATTCAACCAGAACTCAAGCAAATGTATTTCATGAGAGGATTTCGAAGTATTAATTAACTCCATGACTGTCGACAAACTCGTTTCATTTCTCGAGCGACTTTTTTTTTCTTTTGAATACTCCTGCTTGACTTTTCATTTGGTCGACTTTCTTTTGGTAAAAGGAAGGAGCACGGAGATGGACATGTATTTAACGTCTAATAAATTTATCCGTAGAACGGAAAACGATATCTTTGATTAAAACGCGATTAAATACTATCGAAGATGCAGATAAGAGCCGCGAAAACAACGACGAAATGGTGAAAGCGGCGCTTATTGAATGCGTCACTAGATAAAAACAAAAAATGTGTTGTCCTCGGTGGCAAAAATAGCTATAACTTCTGGAATACAAGTACTTCGTTGTATAATAAAATAATAGAGATTAGAGTGTCTTTTCTGTTTATCTAAATTATTTACTTGCGATATCAGCGTAATAAACTGTACGTAAGCGTAATACACTAGCGATTAACACTACGCGGGTATAACTATCGACGACTAAGGTGAAAAATTTGTAACAAAGGAAGTAAAAGAAATATGAAAAAATACTTTATTTACATACTTTATAAAAACATCGCGAATATGCACGAAGAATTTCAAATCTTAAAATTTGTATACAAAAATTACAAATCGATCATAATATAAGTAATATAATAATAAAGAGAAACATTTTACCTGCCACAGATATATCATTTCTTCTTTCTCTTTTTTTTTTTTTTTTTTTTTAATAAGTTGTCTCATATTGACTTGGCAACTAAGTGATTCCGGATTTTGTCATTAGGTGGCAATATTTACATTTACTACGAACGACTAAAATTGATCGCCCTGTATCAATATTTTTAATTCCATTACATAGAAGTTTCCGATTATAGTACGACTCGATTCGCAGGCCAATCAACGTTCACCAAAAAATAACAATCGATCGTTCGTTCGTGTTAAAGTCGTAAGGTGAATCCTTTCGCTCATATTGACTTGGCAACTAAGTGATTCCGGATTTTGTCATTAGGTGGCAATATTTACATTTACTACGAACGACTAAAATTGATCGCCCTGTATCAATATTTTTAATTCCATTACATAGAAGTTTCCGATTATAGTACGACTCGATTCGCAGGCCAATCAACGTTCACCAAAAAATAACAATCGATCGTTCGTTCGTGTTAAAGTCGTAAGGTGAATCCTTTCGCTGTCCGACGGCCAGCGTTCTTACGAGCGTTGTCCGATAAGTCCATCGACGTTTACACGTAGCTCGTGGCCGATTCACGTGGTTTTTCGCCAGGGGCGACGATATTTTTCTTCTCCCGGCGACGCTTTTCTAATTGAGTGATTGCTCCGCGAGCAAACGAATGTCGTCGTCGCGCTCGTTGAAAGAAACCGAAGAAAAGAGAAAAGAGAATGGAAGAACGCGTCAATTAACGAAGGTGTTCGATCGACGTGTTGCCATAAAGTCTCGCCTTAGGTTTTCTATTTCGCGCCTTAATTATCCCGTTTCTTGTATCGACGCGATCGTGAACATCCGCCGCAAGTTGTACTTGCACTAAACGCTTTTATTTCAAACCAAGGGGCGAAAAGAATATTTCCATGGTGTTCTCAAGCGTGTTGCGTACCGAGCGCGGTTAACCGCGGCATTAGGAGGATCACCGGATAAGATAAGATTAGTCGATGCTGGTGCAACCACACGTTGCAACCGGGAAGGGACCGAGCTCTTGATTTAAAGTGCGCGCAACACGAGTGTATCTGTATAAAAAAAAGAGAGAAGGAAAAAAATAGAAACAGATATATCCGTGACGATTTACAGCCTTTCGGCTTATGATTTACAACGTATATGTAAATAGTTGATTGCAAGATCGAGCTTAAGGCAAGAAAGGCTTATTAGTATTTTTAAACGTAGTGCGTAATAAATGAATAAAGCGGAGGAAAAGGAAATGACCGCTGAGTTAGTCTAAGGATAATGCTACCTCGTTTGCTAAGTTATTGATGTGTGCGCTCGTAAATTATTTATTTTTTTATTATTTTCTGTTCTTCTTTAATTACTACAATTCTTTCTGATTTGAAAAGACGGCGAGTTTCCTCGCGTCGTGTATATATCTTTCTTAATCAGGTATATAGCTATCAAAAACTATACAAGTATATACGATATTATTTTCTAGATTATATGAATGGTTATTGTTCGATATCCTACCAGCAAGTAGAATTTCACAGAAGGCACGATACGGGCCCGCATTTCTTCCGAAAACCCTGACAACGTGCAGCAGCCTTAATCGCTCAATTATCGTGCTCTAATCGCCAAACAATTCCCAGCGGGAAACGAACAATTTCTCGGTGGTGCGGTCACAGGCAAAGGATAGCGAAGAGAAAAGAAAAAAGAGGAAGAGAAAAGCGAAAAGCACGAAAACGACCTTCTTCTCTTTCTTACCACCTTTCTTACCAACGAAAGAGAGATGAACGAATTTTTACGCGGCCTCGGGAGGTCTCGAGACGAATCGTCGACGAAACGGCTACACGGTGGAACCAAGATACGTGGTAGCACTATGGGCAGAGGCATTGTGTACGCATGGTAGCGGGTCGCGTCTCGCGGCGTGGCAGACATAAAACGAATCGGAACGAATTTCGACAAATTGACGCGG